GCGGGGCAGGAGTCGGCCAAACGTGCGCTGGGGGCCTAAGCCAAAGGTGCCGGGAAGGGTGCGCAGGCCGGGGTGACAGGTTCCAGAGGCTCGGGTCTAAGCATTGCAGTGTTTCTCCCTCCGGTGTCCCGGGCGCCTCCTAGGCAGGGGTCGGCGGATATTCAATCATTTAAGGTAGGCAGGGTCGGTGATGATGAATTATTTGGGAAGCTTCAAGTCAACGGCTCCCCAACGTTTGAATGCTCAAGCCAAACTGGGAGACGCCCTTGAGGAGCAGTGTCACTGCTGGTAGCTCAAGTTAAACTTTTTCTCCCACCCTGCCACACCCTATGTGCTACCTTCACGTCCACTTGTCGCTGGTCAAGCAAGTGGCTGACTCGGCATGGCGCCTGTAGAGTCTGGTCCAATGGTGATGGCCATTTCACCTTCGGCCTTGCTGTCAGCTTGAGGGCCGTGTTATGGTTACTTTTCTGTCATCACGGCTATGCTTGCTACGCCTGCAGCCAGGGCTGACCGCCATGAGAGACTGGGACTGTGCTGTCTGCCGCTGCCGTCCGGTTGTCCATTCACGGCTGACCGCCGCCCAGCCATCGTACCTGTTCAGCCGGTCACAGGTATTGAGGATGACTGGGTTTCTGTTGATTTTAATCTATTGAATTTTTATGCTCTGTCCAGAGCTGACATCCGTTGTGGCCGTAGGACCGCCCCTGCGGTATCCTCTCGGTCACCACATACGGATGGAGTGCTCCCACAGGGAGAGTCTCAGATGTCAGATGACACACGCGACGTGGGTCGCATTTCAAACCAAAGCACTTCAGTACAGACAGTACAGACCTGAATTGATTCGCAGAAAAAGGTAGCAGCAGCTGACACATGTTGATTGAGCTTCATCGAATATATATATATATAATATATATACTGTATATAGATGTATATAGATGTAGATATATACACATATATGTTCGTTTTGTTGCTGTGCTCAGGTGGAGGTCGAATCTTCAGTATCATGTTTCTTTTGCCACAGGGGAGCCCCATGACCTGTGTGCAGTTCACTCGCCCGGGCCCGTCCTGGGCAATCACCTGACTAAAGAGATGGACTTGTTACTAGTAGCTTCTTGCTACTAGTAGCGATGGTCTCCAACCTAATAGGGATGGCCTCCAACCAATTAACTTAGTAGCTTCTTGCTACTAGTAGTGACGTAGCAATGCACTTGTTCCGAGTAGCGATGCACTTGTTCCTAGTAGCTTCTTGTTACTATAGTGATAATGCCCTTGCTACCACTTGTGAGAGAAACCAACGTCCCAAACTGCCGAACCATCAACGACCACCTGTTTGTCATATGTGAATGTTCGTTTGAGTTGCACCAAGCTATTGGACATGTTCAACAAAATCATAATCACATATATATATATATATATTTTTAGGCCTATTGCAAATCTGTAGCAGCGTTTGAGTTTCGATCCAAACTAAACTAAACGCGCGAATCTAACTTAAGAAAGATATAGGACATGATAGGCCTGACGATGGAACCAAGCCAACCAAGCCGGTGGCAGGTGGCTCTCGGCAGAAGGACGTGTAGCAGCATGCGCAAGAATTGGTCATGTTGGTGGACACACCTTGTTCCCGGGAGTGTGACGAATCCTGAATGCCGATTGTTGGGGAAAGATGATGTAAGAAAGATTGAGCAAGAAGTCAACACATAAATAGGAAAGTTTAAGCAGGTTCAACAGAATTGTTTGCCAGCAGGGCTACCTTTGGCGCTTCGTGGCCAACATCCTCGGAGAAGATGTGGTCGTGCGCGTTCCCAGTTTGTAGCATTTAGAACCAGTTGTGACAGCCAGAAATTCCAAGCATGCAAGCTTTTCATCAAGACATGCCAGCCTCATCCAACTTCTGTGCTAAAACATGTTTGAACGTGTTTTCTCCTCCAAAGAATAGTTTTCCCCTTATCACCGTGACTGCAAAGTTGATGCACGCTTCCCCTCAGGAAGCTGCAGCTGCGCCTGGCGGAACTTTTGCGGTGTTGCAAGCCTTGCGTGGACCGCCAGGTGCCTTTGAGAAATTGCCCGGAATTTCCTGAGTGTTTTGAAAGTGTGGTCATTTAGTGCGTGATGACTCTCTTGCACAAGAATGTTTGAATGTACTAGTATGCATCGCACAATTAGGCCCAGTACTTGAGACTCAAGCGATTTGCCTGGCAAATGGCTGTAATGTCACGTCAAGTTATGTCCGGCAGTTTCTCGATGCTGCTCACTTGTGATGTTTGTGGACTTGATCATTTTTTTTTGCATGCCTTGGCTTAAGCCTTGGCTTTCTGAAGGTGAGGTTCTTTGCCTTCTCATCGCAATGGAACAGGCTGGAACTGCTGGGCAAGTTTCGTAGTCTCGGCGCATTCATGGTCAAGTTGTGCTGGTGATGCTTGGATGGTTAGCTTTTTGTTATATCCAGCACATATCCAGCACACGGTTTGGCATCATTACTTAGTAATGATGCCAAACCGTGTGCTGCATATAACTGAATTGATTACAAAGCATCTCCATCATGCGTTCCGTTTTGTTTGCGAGAGCTTCAGGTGAAGTTGCAACGTTGGTTTGAAGTCCGTTACAGGTCTTCCCACCTTTGGAATATCCCGAGCCTTTTGGCTTGGCAGCCGGCTTGGCATAAGCCAGTCCAGGATCTGCCTTGGCCTCGCACTGACATGGCTCCCAAAGAGGCCTTGGTCTTTGCATTTGCTGGCATAGCGAGCATAGCGCTTTCGCTGCTTTGGAAGCGACGGAAGGGAGACCGAGAAGTTGCCCACGGCAGCCTCAGTGGCGAAAGTATCGAGGAATTGGCTAAAGAGTCTTTGCTAAACATGGCAACTTGCTAAGTTGATCAAGCCTTCCAAGTTTCACTTGACCTTTCGACTCAGTATGGGCAACCTCAGGAGATAAACGAGCTTTTGCAGGAACGGCATCCAAAGAAGATTCCTGGAGTGTCTGACGAGTTGTATCAATTGCCACCCTTCATTCCCAAGGCTGGACAGCAAAATGCTGCAAGTTCCCTTCTTGTAGACATGGAAAAGAGCAGCATTGGAAGAGCCTTTAACCATGTAGGTTCAAGCATTTTCAAGCAGTAGGGCATCATTCAGATCAAATGAGAAAACGTTGAAGGCACGGTCATCCTGATTCCACCTGGTTTTGCAGTACTCTAGCATTTTGAGATGTTTCTCGCCCCCCACAAAAGCCGCAGGCGACCTGGAGCCGCTTGGGTGACGTTCTAAGAATCTGCGAGTTCCCAAACTCTCAGCGAATATCTGGTGAGCGCTTTATCACATTGCGTTTGGATGGCAGTGGCTCCTTGGGTAGAATGCTCAGGGATCTTTGGGCACAATCTGGAAAAGCCACGGAAGGAAGGAAGGAAGGTATGCGATCTAAACAGTCATGCATGCACACACAATCACACATAACGCACATATTATATACATGGATGTGTAATGATGTGTATATATATATGTGTATATATTGTCAGTGGTGTCACCTTCACGTTTAAATGCTGTTTGGTTCGCCGATGTCGATTCGCTTTTGGATTGATTTGAGCCTCACGAGCATGAACCATGTGTGCTCCACTTGCCGGTCCGGCCCAAGGGACCCCTTTTGCCTTTGGCCCTTCACAGGGCTACCTTGCTACGTGCACGCACGCGGTGCTGCCATAGGCAGCGTCGCCTTGGCCTACGAAAGGCCCTGAGACCTGGAGGTCTACAGGAAAAGGGCGCTACAAGTGCCTAGTGGGGGCCGCTTGCTTTTCACTTTCGCCTCGTGGGTTTTCGACCCTCACCTCCGTTGCCAGTTGTCCCCACGACACTGGTAGCGGAGCCTTGGTGTGCTTCGCTGGCCGCCAAGGCTGCCGAATTCGTTCTTTGGGCCTTGCAGCTTTTGAGAACTACATCCGAGCCCTACTTCATTGACGTGATCCTGAACCAGATCCCTGCGCTGCGCCCGCAACCAGTGCTTGTGGCAATCACTGCTTAAGACCTGGCCGAAGTCAGGATGGACCGAGACAGAGACAAAGATTGGTTGAAGTGCTCTTGGGATGGTGACCAGAGCACCTTTGGCGACTACGCCTCGCCTTTGCCAAGACGCCCAAGAAGAGCAAGTTCTTAGGCCCAGAACTGGTCTCCCAGCTCAGTGGCCGTGCCTGGGTGGTCACCCAGGAAGTGGCTCATGACCGCCTGGTTCAGGCGGATGGCGCCAAGTACCTGGTGGAGTTCCTCGAATCCCGGCTCGCTCGGGTACCGGTGCCGGATGCCGGCTCGAGAGCCGAAGACCTTCTGGTGAAGATGAGGAGGGCACCGGGCATGTCAATGTCGACCTGGTGCCACAATGTCCGAGAGGCATACCGGAGGCTCCAACATGCTTTCAGGAACCTTCACCCTTGTCTTCACCTACGACCTCTCCGCCTTCCAGGACTCCATCTTCCCGCTCATCGACGAAGACCCGATCACGGACTATGTCACCTACTAGGTCTTCATCCGCCAAACGCCAATGGCGGAAAGGTTCCAAGTCCCCCGTGCCTGAACCTGAGGCCGCTGATGAAGAGTTCGATGATTGGGAAGAAGATGAAGAGCTCCCGAACTCCCCGTTGCACGATGACTTCAACGAGGAGGATGAGGAGGAGAACCTCTCCGAGACCAAGAAGGGCAAGGCTGGTCGCCGCTCCAGGACCAAGAAGAAGGATTCGTCGACCAGCGAAGATGAGGATGATTGGGGGATCCACCTCTGGTCTGACCTGGACACTGGTCTTCCCGAAGTGCTTCCCAGCGAGATCATCGGGTGGTTGATGCTACGCCTCTCGAACCTCACATCCCAACAACGCCTCAACATCCTCTCCACCACCGGCAACAGCTTAAAGGAGGATGACATCGAACGGGCGCTTCGAGGAGCTGAAGATGAACTTCGTGCCAACGAGTCCGAGCACAAGGGCAAGGGCAAAGGTGGCAAGAAGCCACGACTCAACTTCTGGGTCGAGCAGGATGGTGAATGGGGCTTGCTTGCCATCGAGGACTCTGAAGGTCAAGAATGGATGGAAGATGGACAAGTCCACTGGGTCGGCACGAACATCGGCCACATCTATGCCCAGACTACTTTGCCGTCTACCTCACCGACATGGGATGATGGTGATGATGCTGATGCTGATGGATTCTGGCATCAAGATGATCGTGGCGGCTACACCTGGTGGCAGCAGGAAGCTGATGGCGAGTTCTACCACTTGGACAATGGTGGAACCTACTGGCCGTGGTCTGAGCAGGCCTTTTGGAGTGCCACCCCGGAGGAGCAGAAGGAGATCCAAGAAGCCTACGCCGCCTACGAGAACAAGGTCCGTTCCTTCACCGACAGCCGGGCCTTGATGAAGCGCAAAACCCTGAGCCGAGGGTTCTATCCCAAGGGAAAAGGTAAGAACAAAGGTGGCTTTGGCAAGGGGAAAGGTTTCCAACGACCTCGACCTTCCTCCTCTTCGAGCTCTTCTACGAACACCGCCTTCAACGTGCAGCCCAATGATGTCATGGCCAACTCTGGCAAGGGCTACACTTCAGGATGCTTCATCTGTGGCAAGCATGGCCACGACTTCCGCTCCTGCCCTGATAAGGTGAAGGGCTCTGGAGGAAAAGGCAGTGGGAAGATCTTCATGGTGGAGCCCGTCCCGACCTTGATGGCCGAAGTGGCTGCGCCTGACGCTGAGGGCTATGCAGTCCTCGACACTGGGGCCACGGAGAGTGTGGGCTCTCTGCAATCCCTCGAGAGGATTCACCTTCGCAGGACCGAGCTCCTTGGTGATGTCAGTTCGATCGAGGTGATCAAAGGTCCCCAGAAGATGTTCAGGTTCGGTAATGGCAGCATGCAACAATCTGAGTCATACATCCACCTCAAACAAAACGTCGGCGCACATGAAATCAGCATCGGCATCTACACACTTGATGCGCAAGGAGTGCCGCTGCTGATAGGAATCCGTACTTTGGACCGATTAGGCGGCATTCTCGACACTGAACAGAGTGTCATGGTCCTGAAGGCTGTTGATCCAACTCTAGTCATCCCACTCAGAAGATCAAGGTCAGGACACCTGTTAGTCAACCTCTGCAGCAACTGGCTTTCGGGCGGCGCCACGATCCTTTTTCACGAGACACTTTCCTCACCGACCACTTCTGAGGAAAAAGTGTTCGTCGCCGAGAGCTTTGAGAAGTTCGATGCACTTCATGCCCCCTCAAGTCCTTCTTTGAGCACAACATGTTTTTCCACGTCTAGGACATCCATTTCACCTTCCCCGCTCATGTCGGCTGTTTCGAGTTCCTTTTGCACTTTGAGTCAATTTGCACGCAGTGATGTTTTTGTGATTGATGAAGTTCATGAAGAAAGCCTTCCAGTCATTGAAGCTGTACATGCCACTTTGCAGTCACACACGTCCATGTCAAATGATTTGGAAAGTGAGCACCTTTCATCAGCACTCACGGCACCGACCTTTTCATCTCAAGACGAGCGGACAGGCGTGTCCCTCAGTTTGAAGATCCTGGCCGTCCTCAGCTGTTCGACCTTCCTCTTCTCCGACCATGGCCACATCGTCGGCTCCGAGCGCCGCTGGGAAGAAGGAGACGAAAGGCAAGACCAAGGTCGCCCGCAGCTTCGAGGAGAAGTACGACAACAGTCGCACGATTGGTGCAGATCCCAGGGACCCTCGCACGGAGGGATCACCGTGCCACGGGAACCACAAGGTGGCAGCCAGCTACCGTGGAAGTGTCACGGGGAGCAACGGCCATGCAGCATGGACCGGTTGCGAGACCTGCAAGCTGAGGCTCACCTACACCCCGGCCTTCGGAGCTCACGCCTTGAACCGAGCACCAGGCCCAGTTCCTCAAGACGTCAAGCAGCAGGTCAAGACCCTGGACAACGAAGCTGCGCACAACCCCCTTCTTCGAGACAAAGCGATTGGGTTGGACGGGGCCGAAGCTTCCGCTTTGCGCCAGCTGGAGAAGATCCGTGCGAAAAAGGAGGCCTTGAAGAAGAGTGCCAAGGAAGACAACCCTCAAGAGACCACACCTCGCAAGACCCAGGGCTACATGCCTCCAGAGGAGATGAGCCACACTCCAGGCCGCAAGGAGCGCAAGTCCGATCAGACGCCCGAAGACCTGGAGTACGAGGGTCGTCTCAAGCCTTCATGGAGCACTATCTCATCGGGTTCTCCGGCAACTCCCGCGGCAGCTTCTCCCAGCCAGTGAACTCGCCCTCCAACGAGGGGCACTCCATCATCGAGAATGACATGACGGCGGACGAGAACTATAACCAGGACCAGGCGGAGCCCATGATCCTGGAGGCCACCGAGATCGAAGGAGTGCGAGAAAGGAGGACAGGCCAGCGCCGATCTGTCTGATGAGAAGGAACCACTCTATGACATCCACGAGTCAGACACCGAGATTTTGGACTATAGCACTGACCATTTGAACGTGGATGAAGTGGATTTTTCAAGAATGCAGTAAACGACATCCAGGAAGAGATTGATGCACGCCAAGCACCTCCGACAAGAAGGCTGACTTTGTTGAATTGTGCTGTGAGGAGCACAGCCTGATGTCAACTGCTTGGGAGCGCACTGGAGGCACTGCAGCTCGCATTGGTCTTTTCAACAACTGCAATCTCCTCACGGAGAACGGAACCCAGCGAGCACTGCAGGTGATCGACTCTCACCGACCAAAGGTGATGTGGATCTCATTCCCTTGTGGAGCTTTCTCTTCGATACAGAACCTCAATGAATTGACCCCTGAAGGTGTCGCCCGTGGAAAGATGCGAAGAAAGAAGGCTCGGAAGTTGATCAGGAATGGCATCCGGGTCATCGAACGACACCTCCCTCGGCGGGGAGATCTTCCAAGAGTGGCCACGTCACAACTCTGGCTGGCAACTTCCAGAGATTCGTGAACTGTGGACCGCCCTCCTTGACCTGGGTCGCTTCGAGGAGATCCACCTGGATGGATGCATGTTTGGGCTTTCCACCAAAGTTGGCTTGATCAAGAAGCCATGGAAGATTCGCTGCTCTCGTCCTGGTTGGCTGACGCCTTTAGCCAGGAAGTGTGATGGAACCCATGCTCACATTCCAGCTCTTGGAGGCACCATTGCCCGACAGACAGCTCTCTACACTCCAAAGCTTTGTCGTGCTGTTTGCTCCAACCTTCAACGTGGACTTCATGAAGCAGCAGCTTTTGGAACTACTGAGGTCCGCTTCAACAAGGAGGATCTGAAGACCTTGACGGAGCAAGAGCTGAATCGACTGATTGCCACTGCCCTCAAACTACATCGACTGTGCGGCCATCCCAACAACAGAGCACTGGTTCGCAACCTGGCCACACGAGGTGCTGACAAACACCTTCCCAATAGACCAGGTTAGACAAAAAATGGTCTAATAGACAACTTTCTTAAAATTCGTCTATTAGATAAATTTTTGTGATTTGTCTTAGACAACTTTTTGTGACGAAAAATTATCTAATAGACAAAACAAAAGTTGTCTAATAGACAAAATACTGCTGTCTTAGACAAATTTTCGCGGCTGCAAACGAGGAAATTTCAAGGAAATTTCCTCGAAACTACCTCGTCTTTTTTTCAAAACTTCCACCTAATTTCCTTCAAACTTCCTTTCTTTTTGTAGCAGTTTGGAGGTAGTTTGATTGAAGTTTGTAGGCAGTTTCAACCTGCAAGTGTGGAAGTTTGTCATGCACATGGACTGAAACTGCAGTAATATGCAAATTTTGTAACATAAACTTCCTCATGCCTATGATGAAACTGCAAGTAAACTTCCTCAGTGCCTGTGGTAGTTTTGAGGAAGTTTTGATTTGTCTGAGACAATTTTTTGTCTCAGACACAGCCAAAAATAGTCTAAGACTGTTTCTTCAAAATAGACTTAGACAAATTTTGAAAAGTTGTCTTAGCCAAAAATCATGTTGTCTTAGGCAACAAAAAAGTTATCTAATAGACAATTTTTTACAAAATAGATCTTAGACAAAAAATAGTCTAACCTGGTCTATTGGGTTCTAGCAGTGGCCAATGAGCTGAAGTGTCCCGAATGTCATGAAGGCCAGATGGCTGTTCCTGCCGTGAAGGCATCACTGGAGAAGGAAGAACAGCTCTGGCGCACCCTGCAGATGGACACCTTCCACCTCAAGTATGAGGGCTTCACCTACCACTTCCTCCTCATGCTGGACGAAGCTTCTGGTTTCTCTGTGGTTCACCTGGTGATGTACCACTTGTCGGACGAGCACGCCAACATCACCTCTGCCCAGGTGATCGATACTCTTCAGCGGTGCTGGGGCCAATACTTTGGCCTGCCTGAGAGGATCCGCTGCGACCTGGAAGGGTCTTTCAGAGGAGAAATGGTAGAAGACTTCTGCCATTCCCGTGGCATTGAGTTGAGCTTCGTCCCTGCAGAGCACCACGAGAGCACTGGCGATGTTGAAAGGATGATCGGTGAGCTGAAGAAGAAGATGAGTCACCACCTCCGCAATGAAGTGGAGAACACAAGTCCTGAACAAGCGGCTTGGCAGATGTGTGCTGCTCACAACCGTGTCGCCCGCGTTGGTGGCTACAGTCCTGCCCAATGGGCCCTGGGACGCGACTTGGAGGAGCGTGACAACCTGGCCATTCAAACCGCCCAAGGAGATCCAGCTTCGGAGATGTCACACAACCTTCAAGCTCGACTTCGCGCAGAAGCCACTTACCGCAAGCTCCAGTCCGATGCTAAGATCTCACGGGGCTTGAACTCCCGGCCTCAGAGATCGACACAGTTCTTGCCTGGAGACCTGGTCTACTTCAGGCGATGGAAGGTGCCAGCTCACGCCTATTTGGACAGTCCGTCCATGAAGGTGGCTCGATTCTATGGCCCTGCTCGTGTCCTGGCGGCTGAGACCAAACTCCAATCGGATGGCCTCACCCGAGCTTCCACGAACATAATCTGGATTATCGCAGGAAGCAAACTCAAGAAGGCACACAGCAGCCAATTGAGGCACGCTTCTGAGAGGGAACGCCTCGAGGACCTCACCAAAGAGCCGAAGAAGACTCGCACCTCCGCTACCACAAGAACTGCTACTCCATCCGGTCATCGCAGCCGGAGCCGAGGACCACGTGTTCGAGCTGAACCTTCTGAGGTACCTGGACCTTCTCAAGTACCTCCTGACGCTCAACAAGCTCCAGCAGAAGAGTCCGAAGAAGAGCTCATTCCAGCTGGTCATGATGCACCTCCTGACCTTTCGGCCGAACAAGGCCTCGACCAGATCTTGCAGAACCCGCCTCCGGACATTGATGCACAGCGGCTGCTGGAAGATCCAAGCTATATGCCCTTGGAGCCGCTGGAGAAGAAGGACTTCAACAAGCTTCGCCGTGACCATGAACAAGCAGAAAGGCCGCTCCACGTGAAATACCCAAAAAAAAACGCTCCATCAGAAGCACCTTCGCCTGCACTCTGGACTGAAGCCATGGGCGATTACTTCGTGCTGGGCGTCATCATCGATGCTCCCGCCAATGAGAGCGAGTGGAAACGGGTTCTCAAAAACCCTTCAAAATTTGCAGCAAAAAGCGTGCAAAAGGGAGCGGAAGTGGCCTGGCAGAAACTCAACCCGGAGCAGAAGAAGGCCATGGGAGAGGCGAAGCATTTAGAGGTCTCTCAATGGGTCAGCAAGAAAGTCTGTGAACGATTTCGCGCCGCAGTCCCAGCCGGCAGACTCATGAAAACAAGGTGGGTCCTTACCTTGTGTTTAAGGCTGTGGACGGGGATGACAGCAAAGTCAAGTGTAAAGATCGCATCCTCCTTCTGGGCTTCACGGACCCCGACCTCGGCGAGCTTGAGACCTGCGCTCCAACGCTGTCCCGAAGGTCTAGGCAGTTGGTCTGCAACTTGTCCACGCACAGGCGCTGGAAGCAGATCAAGGCGGACGCCAAATCCGCCTTCTTGCAGGGTGGACAAACTCAACGACCAAGGCAGATATTTATCCAACCGGTTGCAGAGTTAGCTCAAAGCCTTGGCATTCCACCCGGAGAAACTGCTCTCATGCTCAAGGCCGCTTATGGCCTAGTCTCTGCCCCGAAGGAGTGGTTCACCGATGTCTGCAACACGATCACCAACAAGTGCAACATGCAGCAGCTGCGCACTGATCCATGTGTTTGGATCAAGGTGAACAAAGCTGGTCGCACTGTGGGCTACTTCGCCTCGCATGTGGACGACTTCCTGATCAGTGGAGACACCACCGATCCTGAATGGCAGGCCTCTGTGAAGGCTTTTCGTGAGGCCTATGAATGGTCGCCTTGGGAAGATTCACCATACGCCCACTGCGGCATCAACCTGGCTCAGAACCACGACTTCAGCTTCACCTTCGACCACCACGGCTACTGCGAGGAGATCAAGCAGATCGAGATTGACAACACCAAGGCCGAGATCACGGCCGCAGAGTTGAATCAGGCCCGAGCTGTCCTGGGCGCTGTCCAATGGAGGACCATCCAAACTGGTCCGCAGCACATGGCCAAACTCTCCTACCTTCAGAGCGCTTTGCCCCGAGGAAACAAGGAGACCTTGCAGCAGGTGAACAAGCTCTGTCGAGAGGTCCACTCTCAGAGGTTCCTGTCAGTTGGCGTGAAGCAAATTGGCGCCAACGAGGACGATGAGATTGGTTTTGTGTGCTTCACCGACGCTGCAGTCGGCAACCGGCCGGACTACTCCAGCACCGGTGGCTACATGGTGGGATTGGTTCACCGCAGCTTCCTCACTGGCGAGAAGGGGATTGTCAACCCGATCGCCTGGAAGTCTGGCAAGTTGGCTCGAGTGGCCAAGTCTTCCCTCAGCGCCGAGATCCAGGCCCTTGACGATGGCGAGCAGGAGCTCATGTACATCCGGGCCGAATGGAACGAGCTCTTGGGAAGAGGCCTTGACTTGAGGAGTCCTGAGAACTCCACGGCCCGAGTGGCCGCTGCCCTGGTGGACGCGAAGTCGGTGTACGACGCCGTGCAGAAAGGAGATGGCGCTGCTGCTGGTTTTTCTCTCAAGGAGAAGTATGCTGCTCTGACCTTGATGGCAGTTGTGGAGCAGCTCCGCCGGCAGAACACACCCCTCTTGTGGGTGGCAAGCGATGTCCAGCTCGCGGACGCTTTCACGAAGAGCGCTGCCGCCTCTCTCTTCGAGCGCTTCCTCATGACCGACCAGACCTGGCGGATCAAGTACGACCCCAACTTTGTCTCGTCCAAGAAGCGCAAGCAGCAGGGACTACTTGACGCGGATCATGGAGATGACCCTGAACCTGACCTGAACCCGGATGAAAGCTTTCGCACCCTCATGACAAGACTCAATTCCTCCTCCAGCGAAAACTTTTGGGGCATGTCAGTGGTGTCACCTTCACGTTTAAATGCTGTTTGGCTCGCCGATGTCGATTCGCTTTTGGATGGATTTGAGCCTCACGAGCATGAACCATGTGCTCCACTTGCCGGTCCGGCCTGCTACGTGTACGCACGCGGTGCTGCCATAGGCGGCATCACCTTGGCCTACGAAAGGCCCTGAGACCTGGAGGTCTGCAGGAAAAGGGCGCTACAAGTGCCTAGTGGGGGCCGCTTGCTTTTCACTTTCGCCTCGTGGGTTTTCGACCCTCACCTCCGTTGCCAGTTGACCCCACAACATATATATATATACACGCACACACACATATATATATATGTAGAGAGAGAATGAGAGAGAGAGAGAGTTTAAAAACATGCACAATATGCATCTAGGAGTGTATAAAAACATCGAGGACCTTGAAACAGCTGAATTTATACAATAGCAGGGAGATCGGGGAAGCCTTGCATTTTGGACGCGCATGCACGGCAAGGCTTCTCCAAGCTGACAAAGCGCCTGAGTAGCGCAGGCCGGGCAGCAAACGTGAGGGGGATGTATCCTGTCCAAGTGATTAGAGTGATCAATATGATCAGTCACCAAGCTGTCCAGTCACTAGCCGCACCTGGAAGGCGGGTTTGCGGTTTGCATGTACTAGTAGGAGAATAAGCAGATGGATGGTCAGTGGTCAGCATCACCTGCCTGCTGCCCAGGCGTGTTCTCGCAGGGCTACTCCCACGACTTTGCAGAACTCATGCGGTACTGCTGCCAATCACTTATGGCAAAGTTCAGTGCTACATGTGCTTTGCCCAGCAAGTAGAGAGCTGAAAACGCACAAACACACACACACACACTCCTTAGCTGGCCAATGTTTCTCCCTTCCTGCAACGATGCGGTTTCAAAGGGATGCTAGGGGCCATCGGACTCTATAGTGATGCCCTAATGATTGTGAAGCAGCAGTGATTTAAGGTGCTTACACCCAGTCCGATGAGATGACCTTGGTCATCCCTGCGGCCAGTGTGGTGCGAGGGGAGCAACAGTGCCACTCTCATGGCGGACGGGTGGTGAAATTGTGTCGCTTGGCAAGGCTTGACACGTGAGCAGCTTTGTTTTCATTCCGGAATGATCAGACATCCTGTGGATATCCAAAAAGCGTTTTCAGCCGGACGCTAGATGTGTGCTTCGCAAGTGGCGGTGACAGCATTGCCCGTTTGCTAGGCACACTGGCAGCAGCACATGTCACTGCATTGTTCAACTATCGCTTGCACGCCCTGTAGCATGGTGGCAATGTGCTTGTGGGGGAATTTTTTTTTTATTGGAAGGCGGACCACAAATGCAGTCTCAGCCTCCCCAACTTTATAACTTGCAAGTCTGTGTGAAACTGCACGGGAGATAGCAGGTTTGCTGACAAGGGCATCTCCATGGATGAGCAGCAACTCGCAATGTTCGATTGCCGGCTTGGCAGTTTTGCCACCGCTGAACAGGCAGGGATATTAGCTAGACTGATGGCAGCCGTTCAGGCTTGAGGCTTGATCTACAACTTCTTAAGAGTGAAACCGAAGGTGGGTCCTTCGAATGCGGATCTCAGGCAGTATCCATATATACCTTTGCGATCCCTTGTGTACATCTCATTAATTACATTTAATTACTGTCCGCCTTTGATTCATACACAGGGGAACTCCCCCATCAGTTTTACCCTAAATGGACTTATACTGTTTTAAACTAGCGAGTGTTCACTAGTAAACCCAACCGGCGATCGGTACTGTAAACGTTTGTAAACACAACATAACGCTAAAGGATACTTTCAGCCAGTGTAGGGCTGGGCACAAGTTGCTTAGGGTATGATGGCTTTATGGGGTGGTATCCTTCCCAAATTGACATCTGATTGGCGTGCAAAGGATTTGCAAGAGTCTTCAACAGAAGGTTTTGGATTCTGGTGATTCCAAGAAATTGGAATGAAATGAAGACAAGAACTCAGACAGAACCCAAAGGAACCACTGAAGAAAGAACTAGTAACTAGCATGTCCAAACACGCAATAAAGCTAACGGATTCTTGCATCCAACAAAGGTAAAGACACTTGAATACAGCAGCAATATTATTAGTGCACATCGTTCAGCAAATCACTTGACGGTAACGTGCGAACCCTGAAACGTCCATTCTAAAAGCAAACGCCTTCGACATTTAAAGGTCAAGTAGTTCGCAAAAAAGAGCATCAGAGGCTGCAGTGGCCATGAGTGGGTCCAACACCACTTCTTTGCGCGTCAAGTGCGGAGACAAGAATTGAAGACAAGGCAGCAGTGGCAGACAAACCACGATCACAGAGGCAGGCAAGTGGGGAGACATGTAAGGAGACAAGTGGGGAGACAAGGCAGCAGCAGCAGCAGCAGCAGCGGTGGACCAACACGCCGATCAGCCACGCAGTCATTGAGAGGTCATAGTAACAAGAAGCTACTAGGAGCAAGGGCACCGCTACTAGTAACAAGGACGCTACTAGTGGCTCCTGGCATCGCTACTAGGAGCATTCTTGCTTCCAGTAACAAGGGCACCGCTACTAGGAGCAAGAAGCTAAAGACTATACCGTTAGCTTTCACAGATCTTTTGGACGTTTGGACCCTGAAGGCGGCTTCACTGCTGCTTTGGAGAGCTGCCGATTGTGGGATCAACGGAGTGTCTGACGCTGTGTACAAGTCCAAACTCCCAGGGGCGAAGAATGTCATGCGCCCCTCGGTATGGGTAAAAAGAGCAGCAAATATATCAGTGCCCATGGTTTCGTTGAAAGCTGGCCTTTAGCAAAGGTATACCCATCCCCCATGCAACGAATGTTAACCATGGCGCATGTTGCACCGGCTGAGAACATGTGCATACTGAGCAGCAACTGGTACATTAGCAAGTGCCCTGTTTCCAAATTCTCCATGTGAAGTTGCAGTCCCGATTTGGTGAACAAGGCGAGCTACGACCCCCAGAAAGCATGGACATCGCGGTGAGCCACCCAAACAATCATGAGGCCTTCATTGTTACTTTTCGGAGGTGGAACCAATTCAGATGGCTTTAATCAACGCATGTCAACGCCCCTTGACGGTTCATGGTGCGAACCCCCAGCCAAGGTCTTGGCACAAGTGAAAAGCTCCAGTGGTTGGCTCAAAACCAACTGTTGCCGTTACATGCCCATCAGGCAGCCAGAGATGAGCTTTGGGTGTGATCAAGGGTTCCAAAGAGCAGCTTTTACAAAGTCCTGGCTGCATATCGAATGTTCCAGTTCCAGTGTTTGTTCGGAGAACCAACCAGAAGAAGATGATGCAACTGCAAGCGTTGAGTGCACGCTTAGCTGTAAAATGGGTACTATGAAGGTTGTGAAGTTTCTTTACTGTGTTTGCACGCCATTTTGCAGGCCTACGGCTCTTACTTTGTCAGAGTAAAGCGTGTACATGTGGGGAGCCCAAAGCGGAGACGGATTTTAGGTTCAAGCCGTGCTGTTATTTTTTGTGTGTCACGGTTACCAGTGCCAAGATGCACAGAGCTTTCAATCATTACATTTGTTGGCCCAGGAAGGGATGAATCCCAAGACCGGTGAGATCTCCAAGAGCTTGCGGTCTGCCATTGAAGAAGTTCCCGGCGTCAATGTGTTGCGCCTAGCAGCTGAAGGGAAGCTGTTTCCTTCGGATGATGAAGAACCCACGTAGCCGGAGCGGAGCCAGTGTAAGCGCTGGTTTACGCCAGTGTACGCATGTACAGCGGTTTGATGTTGGAACGCGCAGGAGCCTTGCAGCCAAAAGCTGCAACAACTCCATGAGTGCACAAAAGCAGGAAAGCCCCCGAGCGTGCTTTGCAACTACCTGGACTTACCGCAGGATTTTGTTAATGTACAGATGGTCGAAGGATCAAAAATGGCCTCCTGGAGTGCAATCCCGGCAATTTCTTTATGACTGCATCAACTCTGACAAAAAAGATCAAAAAGGTATCGGATATCATTCTACCAAAGCCCATCCCCATCACCACGTCGGAATTGTGAGTTTGGTGCATTTGATGTGGCAGACACAACAGAGTCATGCACCGACGTGCAAGATTATCGGTTGGATTGTTGAAGCACGAAGCATGTCGAAACATGCTGTCAGGATGTGCAAATGCTATATACGTTGTGCTTCCTCGTGGGAGCGCTCAGGGGCAAGACTCAAGACATCTCAAGACCAACTCTGATGATGTGCAGCTAAGGTTCCTGCCCTTGACATAGGTAGGTCAAGGTAGGTCTGACTTGAAGAGTTGCTGTTCAACTAATGACATACTAATGACATAATGACATATTGGTAAGGGAAGTGACAACTTGCTATTCAGACAGTAAGACCCAGAGTTGCTCTCGATTTTGCCAGCTCAGCTTGCGACGTTGCATCAGGAACTTTGCATAGTCATAATATATGAATGTATCATATAGGTGTCATCACTGCAGCCATCAGGCTTACGGGACAACCGGCACAGTACGGATACGAACTGGACGGGCTGCGCGGCAGGGCTCAGGTTTTGCCACCATGGGTGATGGAACTCCGGCAATGGGCAAGCGCCACAAGAAGACTCACGCAATGTGCCCGCGTTGTGGGAAGCGCTCCTATCACCAGCAAAGGAGAGTCAAACCAGCAAAGAAAGACACATTTGTAGTACAGTACATTATTCTGATACATCATTTGATTTGTGCAGACATGTCTTCAACCGCATGAATACTTTGGTTTGCTGGAATGCTGCAAGGTGGCACTTGTAACATCTTGTAACTACAGTAGTCAGTAGTGTCTAGTAGCATCTAGTAGCAGAGTAGCATTAGGCATTAGGATGTGGCCTTTGGCGAGAAAGTCACCGGACCGGATCATTTCTCACGTCTCATGAGTCACACTGGACACTGGACGGTCTGGACGGGTTGCGTTCCAGGAAGCAGTGCGCCTCCTGCGGCTATCCTGCCGCGAAGATTCGTTCTTATGAATGGTCTAAGAAGGCCAAGCGCAGAAAGGCTCCGGACACTGGCCGCATGAGGCAGGAGAGATCAGGAGAGCACCTGCAGCTTCAACTGAACGTGTCATGTACGTTGAAAATTCTTGGCCCAAGAGGGAGTTTTAAAGCTGCGTTGAACTTTCCAGCTTGGAGGGAGGTTTAGCAGTTTAGTGTTTAAACGTTTGTTCACAATGCGATTGTTCTGTCTCTTGCTGTTCGGAGAGGTATGTCAAGCACATCATTCGCCGCTTGAAGAACGGGTTCCGTGAGGGTGGCACCCCACCAGCACGCAAGAAGAAACCTGCAGAGAAGTGAGGACGGCTTGCCACATGTTGTGTGATATCCCTGATGCTCGAAGAGTTGATGTCGCGAGATGGAGGTATATATTTTATCTCGGTATCTCTAGAAATTGAATGCCGTGCCCCCAAGTCTGATTGCCATATCCGCATCGTGGACAATGCAATGTGTGGCCATTGTTTTCGTACTGCAGGAGTCCATGATGACCTGCTGCTGAACTCACATGGTGCCTTTTTTGTCTGTGCAGGAAAAAGGCACATGCTAGCGCCTGGTGCGTAGTGGTGATATGTGGATGTGGCTTTGTCTCCAGAAATCAGTCAGGGGCAGCACATAGTAATTCCCGAAACCCGCGGATTTGCTCAAGTATCCTGGCACACTGGCTCACTACTAAGTCACTACTACCCATGTCGTCAACGTTGGCTGGTAGCCACATGCCTCGAGAACGAAACGGTGACTGCCAGCAGCTGTGGCAAAGCCCTTGCTGGTTTAGGTGTAGTTGATTTACAACATTCGACATTTGGAATATACATTATGGGCTTCTGGGCCCTGCCAAGGATGCCGTCTTTGCGTCTGAGCCCTTCTGGCGCCCAGCCTCCCTGGCAGCAGTGCAGGAGCTGATGAGTGCCTTCGGAAAAATCATTCGTGACAGCTTACCGTGTATGTGTGTGTGTGTCGACCCCTGGACCAAGGGTTTCCTTTCACAACCTCCACTGCCACATGTCACCCAAAGTTTCACCAGCAGGGGAGTGGAGCAGGCGTGCAGAGCTCCACTTAACAAAGCTCTCTGCAGTGTCCTGAGGATATCGGCCAGGACGCTGGCCGACGTACCTGCTCGTTCTTTCACAAGCTGTTACTCCACTTTTCCACTTTTTGATTCATGGTCCTTCATGCTACTTTCCCCACAAACAGATTTTTTCCACAGCTGACTGCAGCCTTGCACCGTGCCGACCGAGTGACGGATCGTCTCTGCAGACTTGAACAACAAGTTTTCGGACCTTTCACCATGCGGTTTCTGTCACCATCCTTCCCATCGTGGTAACTGAGTTAACTGAATACAATTGTCGAAGTGTGTTTCGCTCAGCCGTCCCACTCGGGTGCTGAGTGTGATCCCCGTCATTGGGGCGCTGTCTCATCGTGCAAGCACTAACTGACCTCACCACATTTCACAGGAACCCCACTGGAAGTCACCTACACAACCACCGAATTAACTGCCACCACGGCCGCCGGGCCTCACCACGGGAACTGACGGTTTCAGAGTGTGCAGCACTTGCAAGGTTTTTCTGCATGTTTTTTCCGCATGTTTCTACATATGCGCTCAAGCAATCCGACCTGAGTTTCCGACAGTTTAATTCGATGTGCATGAACACACCATCACATACCACACTCCACATGAAGACAACTCTCACAGCTCCGCAACCACACACACTCAACATCAACACAAGCATTACGACCTCTAACTCGCATGCTTCCAACACTCGCAGTTTCCGCTGCCGCGCCGCGCCGTCGCTGCCGCCATTTTGAAGACTTTGCTGCACAGCTGTGACGACCTTTCACCAACCTTTTACTGGACGCCTCATGCAGTACCCCTGGCCATATTCACAAGCCACACCACCTCCACTACCCATCGCACCAACACAACCAACACAACCGACAGCACCTTTGCCACAGCCACATACCACACCAGCATTTCCTTACCCACAACATCAACCATACCCGGTACCACAACATCAGACATTCCCAGCTCCACAACCTATGTCGATTCCAACTTCACTTCCTTTTCACTCAGCACCGGCAACTGTACCACCTTATGGCAATCCCTCCACATGGACAATGCTACACCCTTCTCAGCCGCAACCCACACTACCACAACTCGCCTTTCAACCACCGGCACTACCCCCATCCTACCTTGCGCAACAACTGCACCACTCCCCATCTACAGATCATGCCACCGCTACACAGATTCAACCACCTCCTACACCTCAGCAAGTACTTTCAGCTACCACTCCAATCGAACCCCACTGGCACATGCCACAAGGGGTCTGGCAACCTTATTCAGCATTTCCTCCAGTTACACAACCCGTACATCAACCTCCATCACAACCTCAATTAGCCCTCAGTGACTCACCGCAGATTCCACCACCACATCAGCCACTGGATCCCACCACTCCAGCTCCCAATCAAACCGCCACTGCCACCGGTTCACTACCTTCTCCATCACCATCCGTCGCCTCGGCCCCACCCGCCACAGTGGCCCCAGAACCCACCACCGACATACCAGACAACACTGCTTCACCAGCCCCGCCATCTCCCCATCCACCTCACAGCAGTCGCCGCCACCATCACCGGGGCCGGCGCAAGAGCGACCATCACCGAAGCGGCCGCCACAGACACCGCCGCCGCCGGCGACATCGCCACCAATCCAAATCCACCAGACATCACAGTTCCTCCTGGCGACACCGCTCGCCAACCACATCTACTTACTCCTACTCCTCCACACCTTCTCGCAGCCGCTCCAGACAACCGATCGATCTACGACCCAATACCGATGCCTCCACAGCAGACAACACCAACACTGACACCTCCAAATATCCACTCACACCAACGGTCCGTCGACCACCCAACCGATGGCGACCCACACCAACCTTTCCAACTCTACCACCCAAAGAGCAAATTCTTGCCTGGCTCGATTTTCATGCTGACCAGCTCGACGCCTCCAACCGACCCCAACATCAATACCTTGCCAATCTCCTGTTTGACAGCAACATCACATACAAAGAACTCAATGACTTTCGACAATACACTTATGTAAAGTGGAATGAGGCCACCCAGCAATGCGATCAGTTCCAATACAACGCTATCTCACTACCTTTCCTCCACTGATGTTTAACTACCAAGTAGTTTATGAACCCAAATACCCTTTATGGCTCAATTGGGTGTTGTGAAGCACTTGCTTCAGTCAACCAGATTCATCAACATCACCCTCGCTTGGTAATGATAATGATTTCTGGTAGCGGTACAGTATAAAAATTGCTAGCTTGCAACGGTAGCCTTTATGTGTATGGCAGCCTTTATAGTACCACCAAAGGTGAAATGAAACCAAAACAAAGGCCCTCTTCGGCAGAATGTTCATGGCTGAGGCTCGCCCAGCAACCATGAAGTGTGGAGGCTCGCCCTAAAAGACTTGAGACCTATATCACATCTCAAGAATATATACTACAACCAACGCCAAAATTACAAAAAACAACTGATTGATGATAATGGAGGTATTCGACGAGGCACTTGGTCCATCAAGACACATACCGTGTTGTTCATGACTAGTTGGAAGTCTAGTGGGGAGAAACTTCATCTATAGATCGTGGAGATAAAACAGTGACCAACCGTCTTATAACACTGATCGTCCCTGATAGTTTCCTGATACCCCTGATACCCCCCCTGATAGGCCCCTGATACGCCCCTGATACCCGCCTGATACGCCGATACGCCCCTGCGCCCCCTGATACGCCCCATGTTTGCCACCCAACCAAATCAATCACAGTAACATTGGTTAATGTCCATTGAAGATTCAAATCCAATATGGATAGTCTATGCAGTGACCATGCCAAACTTCGTTCAATATTGTTCCATGACAACCCCATTAAAGTCCAGAGAGTTTAGAAACACCATCAGCCTTCTGGATCCCTGGACGCAGGGGGAGGTCTGTCAATGGAGTAAACCATTTTACATTAACTCTAAAACAACAACCCGTTCAACACATCTGATTGGTCACGCATTCCTTTTCCCACCGCACAACTCCCAGTTGTGATCAAAAAGTGGCTGTTGCTGGGCAAACCACAGCATGGCGCATGTGTGATTTAGATGGGCGAGCCTCATCTAATCACTTGAACTTGGAAGCCTGTTCCAACTGGCTTTACACCCTGGCCAAACCATCACTCAACTCATTGAGAGTAGCATCCAGGGTCTCAATGAGGTGGCTGGAATCCCCTTTGCCAGAGTCAAGGCAAGTCTGGGCGTTCTGGATTGCGACTTGGGACTTGTCTTTGGCATCCGACGCAGCCTTGATGACGTACGGTGGGATCATATCTCCAAACGAGGAGCACTTTTCCAAGGTGTCCTTCATTTGCAGGACCTTGGAAGAAACTTGCTCAGCCTTCTTTGCGACCTTTTTCTTTTCTCCCGCTTTGAGCTTGGGCTCGTCGGCAGGTTCACCGTCCTTGCCATTCTTGTCGGCCTTCTTTGGTCTCTTTGGAGCTTTGGCAGCCGTGGTGTCATCCAGAACCGCTTGGCCCTTCCTTTTCTCTGAATGTCCAAGTTCATGTTGGTCAGACACCTTGGCCTGGTACTTTGGGTCGGCGTATAGGATCACCTTCTTGATTGGACAAAAGAAGGAACGGCTGTTCTTCAGGATGTTCTCGGCGATCTCGGGCTTGTCAGCATATTTTGCCCTGAGGTCACTTTCCTCAACAAAATCGGCTTCTTGGTTGAACTCATACCGGGTGGTGCTGATCTTCCAATCCTGAACAATTTCCTCCAATCTCTTGCGGAGATCCTCTCCCCTGAGGTGCGGGTTCTCCCGGTAGAAGCTGGAGAATCTGTCTCCCTCCGCAGAAGTGAAATCATTGACAAGACTTCCATGGTTGCGCTTCAGCCTTTCAATGGCGCTGCGCATGTTGTGGCAAGCCCGGCAACGGCGGATCTCATTCGAAGACTTGACGCCAGCCCGAACAATGACCAAAGAATTGTCCTTGTCAATGGGCTGGTGGCAAGTGCAGCACTGGTTCGTTGTGACTTCCTCCTCGGTCAAGAGGGCTGCGTCGCCCAGACTTTCCACCACGCTGGCAGCCGACTCGGGGGGTTTGGGGCACGCTCGCCTGTGAAGTCATGTTTTCAAAGAGGCGAGCCTTCAAAGTCAGCAGAAAAAGCTTCCAAGCTTCCTTTCCTGGCTTGACATAGTGGTAAATGGCCACAGTCATGCGTGATCAACTTGGGAAAGTGAATTGGAATGGGGAACTGTTGGATCACGAAAATGAAGACGTTCTTTCTACAAAACTGAAAGTGTGAGAAGGATGCGAACACACGATGTGATTACTTACAGGGTTTTAAGAGCCCTTGGTTGAAAAAGACTGTGACTTCGCACGCCCACACATGCTAACTTTTCCAAACCAGCCAGGATCAGGCACCACGGTCAAAATTTTCTTGGGCGAGCCTCAAGATTTCAGCTGGTCTCAGGCAGGCTTGAATGGAGCCGCAAGACCGTTTGGCATATACTATGGGCCTCAAGCGGTCACACCATTCCATCAGAAAGTCTTGGCTCGCAGGATGGAACAAGGAACCCTCTTTCCACAGGTGGACTGAGACCTGCAAGATGAACTTTCGCTCACCTGTAATGAGAAACACTACCAAGAAAGCTGCGCAAACAATGAGGGCACCAAGCTCCGCAGCAAACAAAACATCTCCTAGAGAGAGCTGTCCAATTGGTGTAATCAACGTTCTGCCAGTGCACACTGACATCACATCATGTTGCCCCACGCCGAGACTAAGCAAGTGAGCCCCGTCTGGGATTTGGCGAGTAGGGCCTTGCAAAAAAAATGGTTCGACCAAATTTTGGTTGCCTTTGAAATCTT